CCCCCCCCCGCCATCCCTTCCCTACCCACCTTCCACGTTTGTATATTGGAGGCAGTGATGCGATGATGCGTGTGGGACTCCTGTGCCGTAGGTGTTGGATGAGGTGGAGAGGCGGAGGGCTCTGTCTCCCGCTCTGGTGCAGCCGTTCATGAGAGCCATCATGGAGGCCCAGTTTCCAGCTCCGGGCAGGACCATCACCGTCAAGACTTTCCTCCCCGGCTCGGGCACGGAGGTACAACGTGTCTGTTGACAAAAAAACAAAAAAAAAAGTGACTTTTAAAAAAATGCATAACAGGCATGGGAGTTCCTACAGCTGCTGGTGTTTCCCTGCACCGGCAGGTGATGGAGCTTTTTCGACCGTCTGACTCGCATGTGGAGCACGTGGACTTCGAGTGTCTTTTTTCCTGCCTGAGTGTGAGGCTTCTTCTCAGGGTGTTTGCTTCTGTGCTTCTGGAGCGCAGGGTCGTCTTTACGGCGGATAAACTCAGGTGAATATACGAATTCACCACTAGGTGGCGGAAGGTAACGTTGACCTGCGTCTGAATCAATTCAGAATCAGAGAAACTGTTCCATTGAGATCCATGACATTTTTTTTTCTTCAGTACCTTGTCCCAGTGCTGCCACGCGGTGGTCGCCCTCCTCTACCCGTTCGTGTGGCAGCACACCTACATCCCCGCGCTCCCCTCTGCCATGCTGGACGTGGTGTGCACCCCGACCCCTTTCATCGTGGGCCTGCTGACCGGCTCCTTGCCTCAGCTCAGCGAGCTGCCCCTGGAAGAGGTCAGCCAGATTTTCACACATCAAGACGTCAAGTCTCTTTTTCATAATGCCGATTGGTCACTGCGCAGGTTCTGGTTGTCAATCTGGGGAAAAGTCGATTCCTAAAGCAGGTGGGTTTTTCATGAAAGCCCGTGTGTGTAGACCCGGTAGTATTTTTAACCTCTTCCTAAGATGGATGACGAAGACACCATCCTGCCTTCCAAGCTTCAGTCCGCTCTGGAGAATGTTTTGGAGAGGAGAAGAGAGCTCGCTGGCGGGGTTGGAGGTGACACCCTCCATGGTAAGGCACAACCGAAAAAGCAAGACGCATACAAACATGTTGATGGACATGGATATAATCCAAGTGATTTAAATTAAGAAATTGTCCAACCGATTTCTAGCTGGTATGATATCCGGATGATATTGCAGGCAGCATAACGTGCTCCGCAGGCGTCTCCAGAGTGACACTGGGCAATCGCTAATCAAGCCGACTCGTCTCATCTCCACCTTTAGACCACCTCGGCACTGTTGTGACCGAGGCCTTTGTCCGCTTCTTCGTGGAGCTGGTAGGCCACTATCCCCTCTTCTTCTTCAGCGAATGGGAGGACGACGTCTCCTCCGCGCCGTCCGTCCCTTGCGCCTTCCAGCGGGAGGCCTTCCGGAAGGCCATCCCCTCCAAGACCACGAGGCGCTTCCTGGAGGTCTTCATGGAGACGCGGATGTTCGGCTGCTTCGTCCGGGAGAGGGAGCAACACGGGCCCAGTCTGAATGGTACGGGTACGGATATCGCCTTTCTCTGCCATGTCGTGAATTATCGACAAATATCGTCAATCGCATTTCATTCATTGTACTTTCGGATAGAACTTTTTTTCAATGTCTCCTCAGGGCTTTTTGAAATGAGGGTGCACGAATATCTCGACACCATCCACGAGAGTGAACACCGGAGGGTTAATCGGTTTCTCAAAGGTTTAGGTGAGGATGTTTTTCAATTTTTAGCCTCAGAAATGTAATTTTGTTGTAGTTGTTGTGCTGATGCTGCAGCTAAGACATCCCAATCTAACTTGGTTTGGGTTTTTCTCCCCCCACAGGGAACAGAATGAAATTTTTGTCCAAGAAATAATGATCAAGAAAGGATGAAGAGTAAAAATGTATTAAAATGAAACGTGTCCTGCTTCAAAGCACTCCAAATACTTTATTTAAAATAATAAATGACTGATTTGTCATAATATCCACCGGCATCCACTAGGAGGCAGTATTATATATTTTTTTGATGATAGGCTGTTACAGTAGCTTAATGTCGCAGGGCAAAACATTAGGTACACCTGATCGTCCAATCCTGAAATTCTAAAACAAAATGATGCAACAAGAATATTAAACTTTTGTATCAATATTTTAAGTGTTGTTGTAGTTTGCAGTGGTGCAGAAATGCAATCGAGCTGACTGAAGTGTGTATCCAATGTTATTTTCTACACTGGTATATTACCCGCACGTTTCTCAAGAATTGTGAACATTTCCCTGGGTCTATTTGATCCGATTTCAACTATTAAAAATGTTCAGAAATGAGAAATGAGTCCCAATAAACATTGTTCATATGTCAATATCATCATCTATCTTGATACTTGTTACCCAGAAACAACAATAAAACTCTTGGGTCAATTTGACCCACTACACTTTTATTGAAATGTTCCAGATAGGAAAAACAACAACAAAAAAAATCACGAAAACGATGTGCTCATTCAGCATTCACATGCCAATTGCACCCACTGACTGGTCCACATGCCACACATTCACTAACCACACAACTGCTGCGCTTGTGCGCTCAAAGCCACGAGGCCTCGTCCATACAAAGAGTTTTCGGGTTCAGGGTCGGCGGTGGCGAACGCTATTTTCGGGATGTGAGTCATGGAAACAAAGCCGGCCGCAAAGAGGAAAAGCACATCTTTTGTCGCCGTGAAAGCATAACACAGGTGCGGAGATGAGAGCATAGTAGCGTATTGTCTGGGCCTGAGACGCCCTCGGGGCGCTGGGTCAGCGCCGCATCGAACCGTCGCCCTGATGGACAGATGTTGATGCATAAACAAAAAAAAAAATGCGCTGCGCAGTGAATGCACATGCAGATTGCAGGCATGTGAACGATTAAATAGGTTAATGAGTCAGGAAAAAGGAAGCGCCATAGTATGAGGAAGGCTGTAAAATCTTTGACACCGGGGCAAATCTACACACGAGCCAATACAAGATGACGAATGGCAGCAAGGAACAGGTGAGTGATCACATCACACTCAAAGAAGTCACTAAGAACACTCACATCTTGGAATGGAAAAGATAATCGTCGACCAACATCAATGAAAGAGATTAGGAAAAAAAAATCTTTTACACTCACCGAGATGAATCATGCAATGAAGACATTTGCCCATTCAGAGATGACAGCCGTTGCCTGCACCATAAATGTGTCTGAAGGCCATGTGTGTACACACACACAAACACTCACACACACACACACACACACACACACACACACACACACACACACACACACACACAACAGTGTTCATACTGTATATGGACCTGATTAAGTGTATACTGTAAAAAGGATTTTCTATCGATGTGAACGCAAATGAGGTATGGCTGTGGAAGCAATCGATGAAGACATGGAGTTTTACCAATCGAGCAGCATGAATATTTACCCACTCTTGCCTTTTGTGTTGTCAATGTTCTATTTGTGTATATTGTAAATAGACAGAGAACATGAGGAGGGCCAAGGATACAACCTTGTGGCACACCACAGGACGAAGGTTTTGTTGAAAAACACTGACGGCAATCTTACGTATTTAGAGAACATGAGGGGACCAATAGTGCTACCTTGTAGAACACCACATTTTCACATTTTTGGCCTTCTATATATATATATACAGTAAAACAGTTCAGTAAAATAGAGTAAATCTGTCAGTGGTTAACAAATCAAAAATCTTGGCTCCCTGTGCTCCCCCAAGTGGGAAAGCAGAAACGCCATGGGACGATCTCGTCAAGACGCCCGCAGAAAGAAAAATGGACGCCAAGAGAGAGACAGAAAGAGAAAGAGACGAGCATTGACAGCTGCTGACAGATTGCTCGCTCCGGTTCTGGTGGAGGTGGGGGTTTGGGGGGGGGATCGTGTGTGTGTACGCGGATACTTGGCCAGATGCCATCAAGTCAAATCGGTGCCAGGCTGCTTTTCTGCTGTACACCTGGGCTTCAGCTCAAACCGACGAGTGCGTTATTGCGGAGGTAATTATAGTTTAAATCAATTCCAGTCAGCGAGGGTTGACCCCCGGAGCTTTCCAACTTCTCTGCCGAATATCTCTCTTCATGCATATGTCACATGTGTTGCGAAGTAGGAGAACTCTCATCTTCTTCTTGGTTTAAAAAAAAAAGAAAAAAAATATATACATATACAGTATATATGGGACAGTTTTTCCACCTCTTGCTATCGTTTTTTTTTTTTTTAAATTATACTTTGGTGGTTAACACCGATTTTAATATCTCGCAAAGTCAATCCAATGAAATAGTCAAGCCATCCAGGTCCTGAAGAAGCAAAGCAAGATCATTTCACTCTGCATGATGTCGTTTTCATTAAATGCTGAGATATTAAAATTTGTTTGATCATTCGAAATGTTTTCAAAGCCGTAGAAAAGAAGTTCCAGAGACACTTTGAACTGACAGCATGGCTCGGCTCTGTCTGTCTTGGTTTGAAGTGTGATAAAAATCAGGGAGGGGGGCAAACATGTAAAGCATCATGCAAACTTCACAGTCCATTAAAAGCAAACCACCAACTTGACATGACTTCTCTCTGGAGATTTATTGACCTCATTTTAAAGTTTGCGAGCCACATTTGAGGCTCCCCCGAGGTGGCCTTGTACTAATTACATGATTTATGGAGTAATGCGCGCTTTAGGGAAGGCGCGGTAAATGAGCGTCACTCGCCATCAGTCACAGCGGAAAGTCGATGTCATTTTCCGTCATACTTTTTAAACCTTCCGCCACACCCATCAATCATACAACCTGCTTTGGACATTTTCTGCTATTACGCTAATATCCCTTGTGCAATATGATATTTTGTACATATTATTCTAGGTTGCCTTGGAGTATTTTCGTCAAACTACAACTCTCTCCCATAAACGGAGTCATTGAGTTTGATTTACTGTAAAACCAAACCCGAAGCGTGCCATCAAGTTTAACGTGGAGAGGGTGGGGGGGGGGGGGGACGGTTGCAAAGCACACATGCAAACGGTTGCACCCGACTGGTTGTTGTCCTGGCTGCAGGTGCATGGTCCAGCTGCAAGCGCCGCCGCGCATGCCAGCGAACTGAATCATTTCCGATGGCCAGACGGAGAGCTATCAAAGCCCATTTGGGAACGCTTGCAATTGTAATTCCTACAGAAATTGCCCGTAAATGCTTCGGAGAGACACTTTCACCAAAAAATAAGGAAAAGGATGAAGGACTGAAGTGAAAACTGTCGCGTGGCAAGGGGTGTCCATTTCTCATACAGTTGATGCGCTCAAGTCTTTTAAATCCAAACCAGTTTACCGATTCAAATTTGTTTTTGGTACAATCATCATGACTAATAATACGGATCTTATTGAGTAGTATTGACTACTAACAGTAGTAGCGGACGTACTTTTCTTGCCTTCCAGTGCCCAAAATGGGCAAATCAGAAGGAGCAGCCAAATCAATTGCGGTATTAAATCATGCCGACTCTCGTGTGCTGTTAATAGCAGAACAGTGTTCGTAAATAAGACTTGATTGTGAGGGGAGAAAGTTTTTCCTTCCGATATGTAAAGACGACAGAAAAAAAGTGAGAGATGTGTGAGAATCAAGCCCCCCAAAAACTTGTGGGTCATGCGCTTGACCCTTTTTTCAGGCCTATGTTTACTCTCCTTTCATAGTAAAAAAAAAAAAAAAAAAGGCAAGTTCACAGAGGAGGGTGACTAGTCCGGCTCGGGCCACACACATCGATTTCGCAGGCCTGATGAGGGTGCGTCACCGCGGACTCCCGACTGTCTCCTCGTGGTCTGCAGCTGCATGTGTGCACGTGTATCCACGTCGCTATTACACCAGCATTAGTCACGGTATCGGAGGCTCGCAACATTGCAACCTCCCGCCCTCACCCCCCCTTTCCCATTGTGTCTCTTCATTTATCTCAGTCAGGTTTGCGAAAACGTCATACATAACCCAGGATTTATTTGTTATTTTTTTCATGCTTCTTAGACAATTAATTTGGGTCAAGGTTAGCTTGAAGAAAACAATACAGTATCCCAATGTCTTAGATATGCCAAACTACTTGAGAAAGTACTCTGTTAGATTCAGTCATTGTTTCTCACACTCTGAATTTGGCTCTCGAATTGAAAACCAGGAACCGTTTCAAGGTTTGGCTGCAATAACCACGACGCAAATGCATCAGAAATACATGGGTGAGCAATTGAAATGCTGAACTGATAAATACGGGAACAAAATACTGCAAAGTTGAAACAATATATATATATTTTGCAATAGAAAGTACTCTATTAGTTTCAGTCAAGGTTTTTCACACAATATGGATTGAGCAGAGAAAACGGATGAAAAATTGTTATGCCAAGCTGTTCAATAAGTCAATGCTCTAAAAATATTTTTAAAAAATGTGAACAATTGTTAAAGCCAAACTGCTAAATTAGTGACCAAAGCACGAAAAAAAAAAAACCCTCACAATTTATAAAAGTCTCTCTGCATCCTACTTTGAGGAGAGAGTGTGCGTGTGCATGTGTGTGTATGTGTGTGTACAGCCTCTGGAGTGGACACGCACTCTTGCACTCCAAGTTGTGGGGAGTCTTTGTCAGCGCAGTTCCAGGGTGGTCCGCGCCATTGGTACATAAACTCATCTCTCCCCATCCTGTGCCTTGTGTGTGTTCTCCAAGTTCCTTTGAACAGATTTAAATGCTTTGTATTGCCTGCTTTTTGCTTTTTTTTTTTTTCTTCTTCTCATCAGGCCTCCCAAAATTCTAATTTCGATCAATTCTGCACCTTCATTGGATCCTATTTTTTAGCATATGCCTCAAATACTGGACGTCATTTAATTTCACGCCAACAAGGTTGTCTGGCTTTGGGACTGAAAACCAGGAACCGTTTTTTGGTTCCAAAAAGTTTTGGCTGCAGCAAGCAAACATAAATATAAACAGGGTGAAAAGAAAAAAGGTGAAAAATTGCCAAACTAAATTAT